AAATGGGAGAGTTTCCGAGCAGATTTAGATAACCTGTCATTGATCTTCTGTCCAATCTGTCACCAACCCAGTCAGAGTCTACATATGATTGTAATTTAAGTGATTTACCAGAGAGAGGCAATCCATAATCACTCGTGCCTTTTAAAAATCGTAGAATTCTTTTTAAGGCATCAAAATGACTTTCTAAAGGATAATGCATATGTTGGCTTACTTTGTTTACTGCATAGGAGATATTAGGTCTTGTTAAAGTCAAATATTGAAGAGCTCCTACTAGTTGTCTGTACAGCAGTGGATTGTTACAGGGCTTGTCTTCTGTTTGTGTTTTTGGCATTTTGGACTGAGTTGGGGTAGCAATCGATTTGCAATTTTTCATTCCAGCTCTTTCCAGTATTATTTGAATGTACCTGTGTTTCTTTAAAATAGCACCAGTTGATGTATATTCTGTATGAATTCCAAGAAACTGAGACAATGACCCCAAATCCCGCATTTGAAACTTGCTGAGAAGATGAGCTAAAACTGTTTTAACAGTTTCTGGGTGATTTCCCGTAAGCAAGATATCATCCACGTAGATTAGAACATATATTTGAATACTATTTTGATGATAAATCATAAGCGATGGATCAGAATTACTTGTTTGAAAACCAAGTGTGTGTAGCTCTCCGGATAATGTTTCAAATCATTGTCGAGGCGATTGTTTCAATCCATAAAGAGCCTTTTTGAGTTTACACACATGATTGGGATGAAGATCATATGAGAATCCTTGCGGTTGCTTCATATAAACATTGTTCGTGAGTTTGCCATGCAAAAATGCATTTGATACATCAAGTTGATGTATATTCCACTTATGATTAAGTTACAAAATGATAAGAATTTGGAATGTGGGTGTTTTAGCAACTGGACTAAAAGTATCATGATAATCTAGTCCATATTCTTACTTATACCCCAAGGCTTCCAATTGAGCCTTATATCTGGCAACAGTTCCATCAGATATATACTTCGTGCGAAAGATCCACTTACATCCAAGTATATTTTGATCTGAGCAAGGAGACACTAAATCCCATGTACCTTGTGATTGAAGAGCTTGAAACTCCTCTGACATGGCTTCTCGCCATTGTTTGTGCTTGCTTGCTTGACTGTAAGAGATCGAATCTTGTTGATGAATTTGATGAATGCGATTGAATGCTGGCTTTGGTTTCAAATGATCGGTTTTGTACTGTGTTTGCATATGATGTATGGACTATTGATTTGGTTTATTTGTGGTGGTATCAGGTGGACTTGGGACAGGAGTAATGATGTTTGAATTTGTTTCAGGTGATGAAACTTGATTCAGAGAATCTGAATTGTAAGAAGATGTTTGTTGTTGGGAGGAGTTTTGTGAGTTCAGATTGTATGAAGCAATTTTGGAATGAGATTTTGAAATTACAGAAGACGGAACTAACAACAGAGGTGATATATTATAGGTAGAGCTTGATTGATTTGATGATCTGGAATGCAATGTAGCCTATTTATGATAGGGAAATTCACTTTCATTGAGCACAACATGTCTAGATGTGAAGGTTTTATGAGTATTGGGATCAAAACAATAATAACCTATTTGAGAGCCAACATATCCTAAAAACACACATGGAGTTGACAATGGTGATAATTTTGACTTAGTATAAGGCCTAAGCCAAGGATAACACAAGCATCCGAATATCTTGAGATGATCATAGGACGATAATTTGTTGTATAAACCTTGATAAGGAGTTTTATTTTGAGTTTTGGAGCTTGGAATGATATTGATGAGATAAACCGAAGTAAGAAGACCATGAGTCCATAGTTCATGTGGAGCTTGAGATTGAATAAGAAGGCTTCGAATTGTCTCAATGATGTGCCGATTTTTATGTTCGGCAACACCATTTTGAGCCGGTGTATATGGGCATGAGTATTGATGTGTTATTCCCCAAGTTTTGCAAACTTGTTGGAAATTATGATTTATATACTCACCGTCGCCATTAGTACGAATGGTTTTGATAGATTTATTAAATTGGCATCTTACCCAATGATAAAGCTCAATGAACTTATGAATTACATCTGATTTTTGATGTAGAGGAAATACCCAACAGAATCTAGAAAAATCATCTATGAAGGAAATGTAGTAACGATAGCCTTGTATAGAAACACAAGATGATGGCCCCCATACATCTGAATGTATGAGTTCAAATATAGAAACAGTGGTGGAAACAGATAAATTTAACGGTAATTGATTGCTTTTAGCAAGATTACATGTGTTACACTTTTTATTATGTAAACTGGTACACATGACATTGTTTTGATTATCCATTATCTGGAGCTTGCGATAATTGGGATGACCAAGGCGACTATGCCATAGATCTGGCACCATTCGAGCTGAAAATAGAGCCAATGAGGATGTGTTTTTATTCGGATTGATAGAGTAAAGACCATTGTGACTAGGTCCCTGAAGTAAAAGATGATTGGTCCGAGAATCCTTGATTTGATAACCATATGATGAGAATGATACTGTGCAGGCATTATCTCGAGTTAGTTGATACACAGACAGAAGATTGAAAGAAATATTTGGAACATGATGAATGTGATTTAATTTGAGGTTACCTGTAAGAGTAGGAAGCAAGCCTTTGCCAGTATTCTGAATAGGTAATTGAAGTCCATTACCTATTGTAACTTGAGATGTGCCAGTATAAGGTTATGCAAAGCTCATTTGAGTAGAATCTGTTGTTAAATGAGTTGTCACTCCACTGTCCAGGAACCATTCATTGTTTCGGGCTTCATCTGATGAACTGATTAGAGCTGTTTTTGGTGTTTCTTGATATGCCGGATTGTGTTTGTGCCAACATTTAATTGCTGAATGTCCTGGTTTTGTGCAAATTTGACATATAATGGATCTGTTTGATTGTTTGTCTTCCGAATTTGCTGGATTTCGAGAGTTATTATTGCATGATCGTCCACGTGAATTACTGCAACAACCTCTCCCTCGTCCGCGAGATGCGGTTAATGCCATAGTTTTATCTGAAATTTGGAGTAATTGTAGATCACGAACAGCTTCTTGAGCAAGAGTTTGCTCCTCCGTGCAAAGTAGTGTGTATAATTCGTCAAGATCCGGAGGTTGACGACTTGTACGAATTACCGTTTTAAATGTTTGATACGTTGCCGGTAATCCATTTAATGTATGAAGAATAACATCTTCCGGATCAATTTGACAACCTGCAGTTGCAATCGCATCTACCTTTGATTTTACAAGAAGTAGATATTGAGTCATTGTATAATCACCTTTTGAAAGAAATTGAAGTTCATTTTTCAGCTGCATTATACGTGATCTTGTCGAAGCTTGAAGACGATGATTTAGGGTAGACCAGATCTCGTCACAGTGATTAAGAGAGATCACATAAGGCAAAATGGACGATGAAATTACTGACAGTAATGCCGCTGCTAAGTAGTAATATCCACGTATCGTGCGACGATGGAGATCCGGTAGATGAAGATGGTTGCTGCGACGGACATGTACAGGATCCGTCAAGAAAGCCTTTAAAACCATTTGCAGCAAATACTTTTTCCACTTGTGATCTCCATAGTGGAAAGTTATCAGAGGTTAGGATTGTTGATACTAAATTCTTGATATTTCCGATCAAGAATTTTAGTTGTGGAGGAATTTGGATATCATTGATAGATGAAATACTATCAACGGAAGGTGAAGAAGTTGCAGAACCAGTCATTCTAAGATCTGTAGATGACGTGCGGAAGAAGAACAGGAAAAAAATTTTTTGATGGATAAGAAAAGCTCTGATACCATATAGAAGTTTACTGTATGTAAAACAGAGAACTCTGTTTTACTGAGACAAAGATAGTTTGGAGGGAAAATGATATTCATTTCATTTCGTATCTCATTACAAGTATTTATACTTATTTGTATGAGCTATTCCGTACAATACAGCTGTACATTTACAGCTGTCAAGTAACTGAATTTTCTTGACAAGTTCTTGTTGTCTAACAAATGGCCAGAGATGATTGAGGTGGAGATGGGCGATAGCAATTAAAATCAATTTATGTACTTAAAAATCACTCATATTCATCAAATTTTAGATACACCAAATTTGTACTAAAGATGCATTACAAATATGCCAAATTTGTATACTAAAAATATTCTAAAAATTCATGTATTTAAAATATTTTACATCAATTTTATTTCAAACCAAATGGCCGCTTATCCAACAGTTAAAATATCATAAAACTTCATTCAAGTGGATGTAAACACGCAACATATCCAATTTTTTTTAAGATTTTCTTGGAGAGCATCACCACTCAAATCAGCCCAAGTGCATTCTCCTTGATTTTGCAGTCGCACTGAATCATTTGATCCTTTCTCAGTGTTCTTCACATCCTCTTCTAGATCACCGAGAAAAGCAAATCGGTTGCTTTTAGCAAGTTGTTCGAGCATGTGAATTACAATCACCTGAGGGCTCATTTGATTGCTTGATTTTAGTAATTTTATTTTAAAAAAATGTTAAATTTATTATTTTGTTGGATATAATGAGACACCAACATTAAGTTCAAAGCCCAGAAACCTTTATCAAACCTCTTTAAAACTAATGATTTTCATTTTTCATCATCAAAATAAATGAAAACAAAATCATTTTTTTTTAAATATATTAACAAGAAGCAAAATGAGCATTAAAAATTTACCAAAATTCTTTAACTGGTTTGAGTGCCTATCTGCAGAGTAATTATTGCGTCCGAACACCGAATGTGTCCAGAGACTAATAAAAAAACACCACATCACTGGACGCTCGGTACAGACCGCGGTACCACTCGGTACTCTCAGTACGCTGTCCGGACAATAATTTTTCCTATCCGGGGGCATCTAAAAAAATCACAAGTACACAAATGAATGTCGCAATAAGCATATAATCTATGGACTGAAAAAAAAAAAAATCCAAAATGATTGTTACTTGGACAAGATAAAAAATTGCTTCAACACAAAATGATGCTACACCAGCAAAATTTCAAGCTCAACATAAGTAAAAAACTAAAATTAGCATATGTTGTGAGCAGGTAATTATGTGTATGCCCGTGTTTAACAACAAATTGAACAGAGGTTGAAGCTTATCAAAAGAAACACAAAAAATTTAGCTGATGACATAAAAGATTCAGACAACAGAAGCAGATTCATTAATGAATGATACACACGGGAGGAGAAAAATGCAACGGGAGTTCCTCCCATATGACCTAGAGGACATGTGCCATCGAGCTTTTATTGTTTAACAGGCATGCTTACGTGCACAATAAGCTCAAACTGTCATGTTCCTTGTTGACGTTGGCTCTCACAGCCCGGGCAATTATGCAAGCTCTCATGGATATATATATCACAGTCGAGGCAGAAATGCTGGCTGCACTTTGGGCATGAAACATGGGGATTGGATTTGCTTCCTGCATATAGTTTTACCTTTTAGCAAATAGGATTATCAGTATAAAAAAAAACTAATAAATAAATCAACAAATCAGGGAATATAGAAGGTCCATCTATCCAATCATGGGGATCTAGAATATGATCATAAACTCTGACTAACTAGTGGAGTTTATAAATAATGAATTCCTTAGCTAAAACAGAGCAGAAAAGATTTTCCCTGTTGTCCCTGTATCTTTTCCCTTCTCTAGAATGTTTGGTTTCAGTTCTCCTAGTGTGAGCAAACTTGAATTGCACAGAGGTGTCCAGACCAGTATCAATAGTGCTACTGTTGATTCCTTCCATTTTAGTTGCAGTTCTCTTTCCTTATTGCCGGCAGACTAATCAGCAACTCATTGATTGCACTGAAATTAGCATCCGTCATTGCAGCAAGTTCGTTGTTCATTCATGGGCAAGAACACTGTCAATAATATCAACAAATTTGTTGTTCCTTCAGAGTAGCCATCATTGCTCCTGACAGATGGTACTCATAACGCAGCAAGATCCATGGAAGCGTGCATTGGGCGGTAAAGTAGAGAATCATCTTCTATTTTAATAATCTCAAATGACATTTCAAGAATTGAAAGGAAATGTAAACATTCACAATTGAAAACAGCAGGTGGGGATGATGCTCTGTGCTGTTTAAGTACATCATTTGATCACAAGTCCTCATGCTGCCATACTTCTACCAAATTTAAGAATAGTCAAATTGGACCTACAGCGGTTTTACTAGTGACAATCCTTAAGGATAGATTTACAAAACCGATTAAATCTATTCATATTATAATCTTTTGGAGGAGCAACAATTTAACATGCCTTCAATGCATATGGATTGACCGACACTAAGTTGATATCAATGGATACATCTAAAATAAATAATTGAATTCTTAAAAATCTTTTAATAAAAATATTCATTTAAGAATTTTAGCCGTTGGTTGTATAAACATTTGCAAGGAAAATTCACCAAATACTAATAAATAAGGTCCAATAATTCTACAACCGCTTTAAAGAACTTCCTAATCAAACTTCAAAAGATCCCATCATCTTCCTCTAAAGTTATTTTGAATTAGGTTTACAATTAGCCATTCAAAGTGGAGGTTTGGGTATGACAACCGCAATCTTTAATACAAGCATTCTAGTTGGTTAAGCTTAAAAGAGAATCATGTAGCAGATGAGCAATCTTCAACAATGCTACCACAATCTTCAACGCTAAACTTGACAAAAGCCGCTATAGCCTTCTTGCTAACATTAGTTAATCAAGCCACTATTTAGGCAACTGCGACAAATTTGACATTACAAGTTCATCATTTAACAGCAACTCAATAGAACGAGTGAAGCTAAAAAGGACTTCCATTGTGATGAAAATCTCATCATGGCCATATTGTAAATTCAAGTTATTTGACATGGTGATTAACGATGAACAAGTAGAGGTGGATAAGCAAATGATTCCCTTCAATATTCATTTGACATCTTCGCTTGATGATAATTCAGAAATAAGTTTCAATGCGTTAAATTTTCATTAACTTTGCAGTTGAAAGGAAAATCTGGAATACAAGACACTTAGATTTTAGTCAATAACGACTCATCTCATAATTTCATCTAAAACTAATTGGTACATCATGATGAAATATCTATCATGAAATCCAAATTCATTTGAATTTTGTCGGTAATGGCTAGACTTTAGAATGCTTAGGATTATGTTCATAAGATCTGATCAGCATACAAGGACCTAAGTTTTGATCAACATACAAGGACCTTATTTCTTTATTGCGTGCCAACTCTTTTCAATAAATCCAAATTGTTATATGTTTCTTCAATAAATAAAAGTAATAATAAGTTTAGTTTTAATTTCAAATGTTTAATAAAATTTTTTAGAAAAATTATAATTACTTGAAAATTATATTTAATAAAAGTTTAATTAAATATAATTGTAAAGATCAAAATATTCTTAAATTTAACACCATTTAATTCAACATTGAATGTTAGGAACATAAAAGTCTCAATTTAAAGAGTTGATGGATTAAATTGATCTCTCAAAAGAATCGGACACTATTTTAATCACTCATAAAGAGTTGAGGGACTATTTGGTCCTTTTCTCCTAGGGAACTATATCAAGTTGCATGGCAAACCTTATGCTTTATTTCAATATCATTCAACTACAACAGCTTCACTAAATGATCTCTATCAAATCAATAGTTCCATATTTTCATAAGTTGTCCTTGCAAAAGCCAATGTCATTGATGGAGGATTGGTGGAATAAAATTCTTTAAGTGATTAGAGAACTGTTAGTTGAATATCAAATTATATTCAAGCCACAATCATAGCTTCCCCCAAAAAGATTAATAGATCATTGCATTCATCTTTAACTAGGAATGAATTCAATCAATGTGTCGCCATATAAGTATCCTTAGTTATAGAAAATTAAAATTGAAAAGATGGTACAAGGAATATTGGATGCATGGATAATTCTTTTATTTCTCCCCGGAACTGTAAAGAAAAAAGATGTCACATGGTAGCTTTGTATTGATTATATTCCACATAACCAATTCACAACATCTTATCGCTTTACTATTTCATCAATAGACAAATTGATTAATGAATTACATGATGCAGTTGTTTTTCTCGAGCTAGATTGTTATAGTACCTACACCAAGAATTGGACACACTATTAGGATGCAAACCATGAGAGCCATATTTGAAAGGAATCATTAACAAGAGAGAACCAAAAAAGGCTTAGAAAATTTAGGTTTTCATTTGTTTGAACATTTTCATTGTACATCTATCATAATTGTGTTGTAATAAATTTAGAGTGCACTAGTGTGAACTTGAGAGCACTCATATGACCTTGAGTAAGTGTGAGTGAGTGTGATGGCCGAACAAATGAGTGTGGAGTATCATATGTTGACTTTGTCAACATGGAGTGGATGGCCAAGGCTTTGGAGAGAGTGTGGAGCATCACATGTTGACTTTGTCAATATAAAGTGGATGGCCAAGGCTTTGAAGAGTAGCTATGGGTATTTACAAGCTAGAGTGGTTAACCCTCTTTCCTCCCAAAATCCCTAGTTTGAATTGCTTTATGTGTTATATTTAATACTCCATTTGTGAATGAAAATGGTAGGTTGCTGTGAAAGAATTTTTAGAATTTGAAGGAGAAGGCAGGGTGGCTAGATCCAAGTGAGAATGTTTGGTGGCTTGATCCAAGAGCATGGTTTCATAATCATACTTCTCTTGCACTAGACTTTGGTGAGTCCTTGTGCATATCTTTCTGTATCTTGGTTTAGTTTTTTATAAAATTTGTGTGGAACATTATTTATTGTTTAGTGCTGAGAATATAATTTTTCTTTTAATGTCCCAACCTTTTTCCCCCACATTCCTCCACATTAACTGGTCGGCCAAGGGTGAAGGAGATCCTGACATAGTTGGGTTCTCTTAATCATTTAGTGGATCAAACATAGTCCAAACCTTGTAAAAAAAATTTAGAATTGATCTACATAGTTAATAAATCAATTTCCCATAGTTTTCCCTTTGCTTTTACTGTTATGCGTTGAGCCAAAGTCCAAAAATCCAACACCCTAATTTTTGTTTTCTAGTTTTTTACCCTTATGCCCGGTCAATTAAAAAAAAATTCCCAAAACATATCAAGAAAATTTCAAAAATTATAAAAATTGGTGAAAACCTCGTTGAAGATGTCCACTTTCATTTTCAAGTCCAATTTCTAAAATCAACCCTATATTTTGACATCTGGAACTATTTTCCTACAATTGGTCAATGTTGGACTAATTTGACCAAGGTTGAGTCCGTAGCCAAATTAATCATCCTAAAACTCATCAATTGACCCCATCACTAGACATCATTTTAATATCTCCTATCAATTTTGCTAGAAAATCTAACCACCATATCATAGATTTAAGACATGGTTACCAACAAATTTAGATATCTAAAGAGGATGTATGCAAGATTGCACTTCAAATACATGAAGACCACAGTATTTTTTGTGGCAACGCCTTTATGTTTGAAAAACACTATTACTCCTTTTAAAATATGATAAATGGTATTCCTTGTCCTTTTTATGTTCTTTGTTATGGCATTTTTATTGATATTCTTGTGTATATCATGTTCATATTCAAGAATATCAACAACCTTTGTGTAGTGTTAACATCTATTGAGACCATGTGGTTTTCTCAAAACCAAGTGGATTAATGAGGCGCATAACTACACAAGGAGAGGTAGTGGATCCAACTAAACTAAAGTACATCAATACTGATATCCCCAATTTTTATAAAAAAATTGTAGGGATTTCTGGGTTTATGAGGCATCTTGTAAGTAAAAAAAACAATTAGATAGGAAGAAAATTACAGGAATCAAATATTAGAATTGATTTTTGGATTATCTCTTCAATAGCAATGAAAGATATAAGTATCTACTATTCGATAGTAAGATCAGCTCTCCCACAAACCCTAGACGCCGCTAGGAAACTCGCAACAAACCCTAGAATAAACTTTAGCAAAACAAAAGCTCCCAACCCAAGACCAAACTACCCTTTAAAAAGGAACTTTTATTACGTCCTCTGACCGGACGTAGCTCTACGTTCGGTCAGAGGATTGTTACTCGGTTTTTGCTCAGTATTTGGTCGGTATTGCTAGGTATTGTTTGGTAATAACGAGGAATACCGCTCTGTGAAGATCAATACCGAGTAATACCGAGCAATACCAAGTTTTCCCAAAAAATACCGAGTTTTTCTAGAAAAAACTCAATATTTTTGGGATTACTCGGTATTGCTCGGTATTACTCGGTATTTTGTCTTCACATAATGGTATTTCTCGTTATTGTTGGTATTGTTTGGTATTTGCTCGGTATTTCTTGTTTTGTGCCTGCGATCTTAGTGCCGGCCGAACGTAGCTCTACGTACGTTCACCGGACCAAATAAAAGTTCTTTAAACAGCCGCAACACACAATAAACACAGTTAAAACCCTCCAAAAGAGG